CCGTCCCCCTGGCTGGCCTGGCAGAGCCTCAGGCCTGGTCCTTGGAGGGGGAGCCCCGCGACCAGTGCTGACCCCAGTGCCGACCGGCTCACAGGCCTCGGGTCGGGTTTGCACACTGCACTCCTGGCTGCCTGCTTCACGAGTAAACTCTAAAAACAACACCCAGAAAGCTTGTATTTAAAAAACCTCCCGTTTTCTAGGGATTTGAAGCCCCCTGAGAAGTGCCCGGCCTCCTGCCCCTGGGTGGGCGGCTCAGAGCCCCGCCGGGACGCGCACGGCTGCGCGCTCAGACCTCACGTGGAAGAGGCTGGGGGTTGATGAGCTCTTAGCAGCTCCGCGTGGAGACGCCCAGCCTCCGGCAGCGGCAGGTGAAGCCGCCCCCGCCCGCCCCTCATGTAGCTTTATTTCAGCCCATATTCCTAGTCCTAGAGCCGAAGGGACCGTCTCGCAGGGACCAGGCTGAAGCAGGGAAAGTTCGGTGACTTTTCCGTTTACAGAAGCTCCAGCTCCTGACCCCACCTGGGCTCTCACTGTCCGGGAGGCAGACTGCCCGCCCCCCATCACCTTGGCCCCGCCCGGCCGGCCCAGGTTTTACTCATTTAACCCCACGCTCCGCTCCGTAAACTTTTCACCAGGACCTGCGCAGCTGCCCTCGGCGTCCTGTGCTGGTCCCCTCGGCACCCTGGCCTGGGAGGTAGGTGTCTTTCTGTTTCTCTGGTCCCGGCAACCAGACACGAGGGCACCAGGGCCGGTGGTTTGCCCTCCACGGGGCCGCAGGGCCTCCCCAGCCTCCTCCGCACAGGGCGTCGCTGGCCTGGGGGCTCGCCCTCCCGCCTGCAGCTGGGCCCCTGGCCGCTGATGGAGGTGCCAGCACCCCCTCCCTTTCCCTGGGCGGAGTCCACCAATTGGGGGCCAACCGCCGTGCACCCAGCTCTCTGGGGGAGACGCTGGGAATGGAAGGTGTGGGTGTTAGTGAGCCTCACCTACTGGGCCGAGTGCTTGCTGGGGCCCATGGGCTCTGGAATACGGGGCAGCCACCTTCCCCAGCCGCCTGGGAAGGTCCGCGGGGTGAGGGGTGCCCTGCTCGCTCTCGTTCGGTTTAATTAAAACGGGAGAGACGTAGTGGAATTGCTGGCTCGGTGGGGTTTACTGGCTGAAGCTGTAACAGTGGAAGAGCCTTGAGTGGTCCAGTCAGGTCAGCCTGTCGCCCGAGGAGATTCGGGACCATCTCTTTCTCCCAAACCCAGTCTCCTGCCCCCAACTCCACCCTCCCGGAGGCAGTTTCCTTGCGGCCTGCCGGGTTCCCTCGGCCTGGCCCTGGATGAAGGGACACTGAGCAGCTGGCCAGAGTTGGCTGGGTTCACAGCTGTCGGTGTTGGTGGGGCGAGGGCTGGAGCCCACTTGGAAGGCAGGCGCCTCCTAGGGGAGAGCACGTCCCAGCGCTCAGCTGGCCGCAGGTTAGAGCCAGCGTGTGGGGACGTCCTGGCCACGCTAGGAGACGTCCCCGCGGTGCCTTGGTGAGGGGGTGGGCGCGCTGGCCCCCTGGCTCCCCATTGCTGTCAGAAACCAGCATGTCGTCCTGCTTGGGGCCATGCTGAGTCCTCATGGGGCAGGGTTTGGGGTCCTGGTCCCTGCAGGGCCAGTGCGCCAATGGCTTGTGCAGGGAGCGCCATCGGGTGTGGGCACCATTGCTGGCCACCTCCTGGTGGCTTGCAGTGCGTGGTGAGGAGGCCTGCCCCCCCAGACTCGGTCTCACTCTTGTGCCTCAGTGCAGACTGAGGTGGCTTGTGACTGACAGTGTGTGCAGTAGGTGCCACTAACACCATAACCCAGACCGTCCCCAAGGCCCAGCGGGCATCGGGCTGAAGGTGTGGGCCTGACCGTGGTGTGAGGGCCAGAGCCCGAGGAGGGCCTTCGTCCGGCTTCTTTCTCGCCTTACTAATAAGCAGGCCTAACTTTAAACAGGGTCAGCATTAGGGTTCAAGACGCAGTTCCTAGCAGGTCCCTGGTGCTGGGATTTAGTGTGACGGCAGGAGGGGAAGCTGGGGCCAGGTAAGGACGTGTCAGCGTTGCATTACGAGGCTGTGGGTGCCACACGAATACCCCAGGCAGACACTGTGGGGACCTTCCTGGCCTCTGCCCCCCTCTGCACTGCCAGCCCTCATCCCTAGGGGACCGAGGACAGTGGGGGACGGCTGTCCTGATGCCCAGCCTGGCCAGAGGGGGCAGGAGGGCAAGAAAACAGCTAGTAGTGTGACTGGGGCCAGGCATGAGGGGCCTGCGTGTCTAGAGAGAGAATGCGCTGTGAATGGAAGCCTCGAAGAGTCCGAAAGGCTTCCACGGTGTTCCGATGCCCCGATCTCCTTACGTTTCCTCCTCCCGCCTTGAAGTCCCGTTTGCGAAACTGACCAGAAGTCCATGGGTGTTTATTTTCCTGGCTGAGGCCTGCCCTGGGCCGCCTCTCACCGTGCCTTCAGCCCCCAGGGCCGCCTCAGGCTGTCTGTCGTGCCTTATTGTGGGGACCCGGTGCAGCCTCTATTTTATGCCCAAGACACCAACTTGACTGTCCCCACATGCCTTTTTCCCTCCTCCAAGTCCATCGTGCCTTCTGCCCGGCTGTCGGCAGCTTCCGTTGGGAGAGTCTTGGGCCCTCTCTGTGTGTGGACTTCTGTGAATATGATGGGCTCACATGTAAAGAAGGGATCTGATGGGAGAGTACATTGATTTGTTACACATGAAATGGAAGTTTAAGAAAACCCAAAGACTCTATAATAAATTGTAAAGACGTGATGGTTTGTATTGTATAATGAACTAAGCCTCTGTAATTTTGTACCATACATGCCTTTCCACCATAGGATCAGCTGCTTCTAAATAAAATTAAATGATTTCATGCCTAAGTCTGAGGTCAGTCCTTTTGCTTTTCCCTCCCCCACCCTGATGTGGGGGTGTTTGGGCTCCTTCTAGACTGTTCCACAGGCAACGGGCGGTCGGTTCTGAGTGGTTGAGATTGGCTTTTCACATGTAGCCTGGAGGGGGAGGTCCAGGGAGCAGCCCAGTCCCCAGCTCAGCTCCCCAGTCCCTGCTCACCTCCCTGGCCCCTGTGCTCTCTGTCATGTGGATTAAAGGACCAGGGAGGCCCAGGTGGTTCCGTGAACAGTCTTAGGTTGAGACTTCTTACAGGAGCCAAGAACCAATAGAAACTTTCTGTTGGCCTTAGACCCAAGGTAATCGGAGCTTCTGGGCTGACGGGGGACAGCTGGCCTGGGAGTGGAGGGGTGGGGAGAGGTCACTTCTCTGGAGCAGGGATGTCCAGCCCTCAGGACACGCCTGCCTGGATCTGTGGAACTGGCCCCATGCCAGACCCCCAGCCGAGGAGTAGCGGCTCCTTGCCACTGCCGCACAGGTGGGTTGACCTTGAAGGTTCTGCAACAAGGTGTTTGGGGAGGGAGGAGGGTTTTGGCTGTGGACGCTGTCTGGGCTGGTCCTCCTCCCACAGGCTGTGGAGCCCGATGTTGGTTATTGGGGCCTATTTGCCCACGAGGCCAACATTCTCAAGTCCTGGCACCCAACTGTAGACAGTGCGGGTTCCCAGCAGCTCTGGGGACATCAGCCCAGTCCCTTGGATCTGGGAGGGTGAGCTGGCCTCCTGTGAGGCCACCTCAAGGCCACTGGTGGTCACGGGCTCAGCCCGGCACCAGGGAGGGACACAGACTTGCTGGTGGCCCTGTGCAGAGCTGCGTCCTTTCCTGCGTCGGTGCCTCACTCGGCCTTCGTGCGCTGCAGCCACTTGGAGGGCTGATTGGAGGTGGCCATCAGTCAGAGCACATCTCAGCAGGACTTGTTTGTATTCATAAGTGCCCAAGAGTTGTTCTCAGAGATAAGCACTGCCAAAGAATGACAGAAACTTGGCCGCCAGGAGCTGCGCTGCTCCGAGGCAGGAGTCTGAATGTAGAATTGATCTAGCTCCTAGGATAAATCTTATTTTCCGAGCTGCTACTGACTCTCTTGCAACTCAATGAGGTCTCCTTTGTCTGCATCAGGCTACGGGGCTTTATGGTCGCTCAGACACAGAATGGATGCTAGGGGATTTGTCACATTTATTTCGCTCACTCACCGAACATCGGCACACCTGCCCTGGCGGGTCTTAGGTGCACAGTGCGGGCAAGTTTGTCCCGAGGTGCCCACAGTCGGGCGGATCCACAGGGCATGATGCCGAAGTTGGGCCCCAGAGGCACTGGGACTGAGGAGGTCACCTCTAGGGAGGAGATGAAGGCACGAGGGCGATGGGAGGGGACAATTCCCAGGGGGACCAAAGGACAGAACCCGAAGGAGCAATTCTGGCCGGAACAGGGGTCAGTGTCATCAGTACTGCCCCTCCCCATCTGCCCACTTCCACCTGGCAATGTAGATCGGGTTTGGGGCGGCTGAAATTTTTGCATAGTCTTTTCTAGTTATGTATAGTGAGGAAACAGACGGTTTACGTCAGGTTTTCTCTGAGGGGGAAGTAAATTGTCTTTGGGGGAGAGGAGAGCTTGGACACTGTGTCCTTGAATCCTGCTTAAACATTGGATACCAACCATTGGGCACCTTTAAATAAGCGCTAAAAACAAAGCCTCAGCTTCATTCTGTTTGCTCTTTGCCGCTGAAGGGGAAGCCCCAGCAAAGAGGCGCTGGATCCTGGCAGGAGCGGGAGGGTGCAGCTGACACTGCTCAGTGCGATCTGTGAAAGGTGGAGAAACTGCTAGGAGCTGGGGCTTCTGGATGGAGGTGGCAGATGGTGGGAAGGCTGGTGGTCTGGTTGGGAAGCTGGGTGAGGGGGGATGGGGGACAGGCAGATAGGAATCAAAGCATTGGCTGGAGTCAGAGGTGGAAGGACCCAGGGGCTTTCCCTCAACCAGGTAGTTTGTCACCTTAACCCTTTCACGGTCCTCAGGTCGCTGGGGGCACCAATCCTTTTCTAAAGCAGACAGACCGCTCCTACCCTTGTTGGTGCCGGCCGGTCCTCTCACAAAGAAATCCCAGCCAGTCTTGTTCAGTTATACATTTTATTCTCTAATAGGTACAATACTAAAATAAACACAAATTAAAAAAAAGTTTTATTAAAACAAAAACTGTACAAAAAAGCAGTATATACTACATTTTAATTACAGAACAGTCTACTGTCCAAAAGGCACTAATCCAGAATAGGAGATACAATGATACAGGACTCATTGAACTATTTTAATTAATACAATAGAGCACTTGTTCCTTGGACCATTTACATCTAGAAACAAGGGCTTCTGCTACAGTCATCACACACTGTTATAAATATGAGTCCCACAGGTGAAGGTGCAGTATCGCTCTCCCTAGAGAAGGCTCACATCAGGGGGACCGCGTGGGGCTGAGGTGTGGGCAGCGGGATCAGCGGCCCAGGGCTGTGGGACTCCTTCCTGAGGAAAGGCTGGCTGCCCTGGGCACCTGGAGCTTGTCTCCCAGCCTGGCCTCCCCCAGGGGCTTTCTGGCCGTGACTGGCAGCCACTTTCCCCGCCTTGTGTGTTAGCACCGGGAAAGGGGTTTCTGAGATGCTCGGGGAACCTGCTGGAGGGCTGGGTGGTGAAGCGCCAGCAGCTCAGCAGAAGGGAGGCATTTCGGTAACTTGATCTGAAAAAGGCAGCAACTACTCAGAGGGACAGGGGTCCCGGGGCGGCCAATGAGCTGGCACCACAGCCAGGCAGACCCCCTTCTAAGAGGCCCTGCGCACCCTGCCCCTCTGGGTCAGCGGAAGAATTTGGTAAACAGATCTGATAATCTCTTGTTCTGGAAGCTGATCTCTAGAAGTGGGATTTCGCTTCCCCAGGCCCTGCCGGCCCTCGGTCCCACCGCAGCTCCACTGGCAGCACAGGGCCGAGCTCTGTCCACTTACCCGAGTGTGCGGCCTGGCAACTCTCTAAAGCCTAGATCTCATTCTCTAATGGACTCTGGACTAAGGAAGAGAGATACTGCAGCTTCCCAAACAGTGTCATACACATAGAAGACGAAGACAGGCATCTGATGTTAACAAAAATAAGTAACAAAGAAATAGGATGAAACCAAATCTCTTCTCACAGCATCCTATACTACATCCTCCTTCTGCTTAGCAGAAAATTGTACGTACACAAAAATACAAATACACAATTTTGTAGAACAGTCTGATTTTAATATATTTATATATATTTATATTTATACGAGTGGCAGGTTAGTTCATTATATAGAGCTTTTTGCACTTTTGGCTCATATGCAACAAGGCTTATAAATTCAGCTTTAGCTTTCATTCAGGTTTTATAGCTTTTGAACAATTGTTTTCACATTTAAAGCAGCATCCAATTTGCACTAGGAGTTTGTGGTGATTACGGGAGAGATGGGGACAGGAGGTTACTGATGGGGAAGGCAGAGCCCGGCACATATACATTCCAGTGTGTGTGGCCATGTGGGGAGGACTGCTATGGGAGGAGCTGACCATGGTGACCCCTTGAGGTAGACTGAACACCTTACAGCAGACTCAGACACAGGTGCGACTCCCCTCAGGGACACATGGTGCACAGGTGGGGACAGAGACTGGGACGCCAGAGGGAAACACAGACTAAGACACAGGAGAGCCCCGGCAGGAGGCTCGGACAGCCCTGCAGACACGCGAGTATTTGGTGGATGCTAAGGGCTCCCAGGCAGCCCAAGGGTCTGGCCCGTGGTGTCGGGTCACATTGGAGGCCAAGCTTGCTTTCCGTCTCTCACGCGCTGTGCCAGCTACTTCCCACCTACAGTGCCGGTACAACGGCCTGCACATCACTCCGCCAGGATCACTCCCCAGCACGGCTCGCTGCAGAGTTCCAGTCAAGTGGAAGGAACCCGGGCCTCTTCCTGCCTCTAATTGCATTGCACTGTTGTTCCCCCGCTCGCTGCACTCTCCCTACATTCATCTCTCTCTCAATTACAACCCGGGTAATTGACAAGCACTCGGTAGAACCTGTAAAAATAGCATCTGGAGAGCTGAGGGGCGGTGACTGGCATCCAGGCTGGTGGCCTCCAGGAAGGCCTTACTGCCACGTCACCGAGGCAACATCCCCCGTTCATCACTTTCATCCATCGGCCGCCCTCCTCCACCCGCGGAAGAATCCCTCGGGCAAAGGGGCCACTCCGCGTGAAGTGATGCCTAGCTGTTGGGCTGTTTCATTGTCTGAACAAAAATGTTGGATTATTAATGAAAATAAAGTGCCTGGCTATGGATTGTTCCAGTTTGCAAAACCTTCTAACACACCAACAAGCCATGTGAGCGTTGCTTAATGCCCAGTGTGAACAGCCAGGGGTCACAGAACAATCTCGTGCGCCCACCGAGGAATAAAGGCCCGGGTGCAGGTCAGACTAACTGAGAAAAGAAGCAAACACAGAATCTCACACTCACTTTCAAGACGCGCTTCTGATCTCCTTCCCGCAGATGCAGTCCTCCCTGAGCCCTGTGCGCAGCGCTTCTGAACCTTGAGTCTAGGAGGCGAGGATGGGGCGCCAGGGTCCCAGTGCCTAACGGTGGCAAGTGAGTCATCGTGTCTGCAGCCATCATCACGTGACTCTGACAGACAGCTGCTGCTCCCCCACCTTCTTCACTCAGTAGCTACAGACCTTGCTAAGCAGGCCCCCAACATTCGCTCTGAACCAAGACCATGACCCCATCGACAGAAACACCCTGAAGCAGCAGCACAGGAGAGTGACAGGCCCGCCCGGTGGGGTGTGCGGTGGCCCCACTCGGGCCCTTGCAGCTGTTCTGCCTGCAGAGGCAGCCACCACGCCTTTCCTGGAGGACGAAGTGCAGGTGGGGAGGGCGGGGGCGGGGCACCGAGACCCTCTGGCAGGTCCCAGAGGTCTGTAACTTGCTTAGGCACTTAAATCATAGAGAACTTTATGCTCAGAAGGTACCGCATACCAGTGGCCAGTGGCCAAGGAATGGAGGGGAGCCCGTGGGGAGTCAGAGAAGGCTGTGGGCTCTTCCAGGGGAGGCAACGGGGATGTTCTTGGCATCTGGCAGGGACGGCGTCCGCCTGGCAGCCTGGGGGAGTCTGGGCTGGGCCCAGCGAGGCCTTTCTTTCTCTTGGAGTTCTGCAGCCCAGCGCCGGGCTGCGGGGCTGGGGGAGGTGTGGGCTGCACGGACGTGCTGTCATGGGGGAGAAAGAACACCAGGAAAGAAGAGGCCCTTCCGAGAGGAGTGTTATGCAAAACCAGCGAACAGCGAAGAGCCTGCGGCCCGGAACTTTGGTTTTGGTTCGAGGCGCTAAGGGGTTCACTAACAGATTGAGGTGTGGTTTCACGGCAGATAACCAACAGCTGCGCTCTCGCCCTCGTCCATCCACTCTAATGTCTGAGCTGCCCACCCTCCAGGACCCTGGCATGAAAGCCAGTGGAGTGTCACGTCACTAGAGTGGCTGCTGTGCACATTAATGCGGCACTAATGCCCTGCTTCCAGCTTAACAGCTTCAGTGTATGACCAAGTGGGAAAATGACCCTCACTAGTTTACGCCAGGCTCTTGGTTCCAGTAAAGCAAACAAAGTGGGCGAGGTTGCTGTGCTCCCAGGAAGCCAGAAAACAGGACTGAGGCTGAAGCTGGGCCTGGAAGTGATGGAAGCAGCAGAAGCTAATGGAAGCCTGGTTCTGAGTCTGTCTGGCTGGTGAGCCATGTGCTCCTTCGGAGGGAGGAGTCAGTGTCTCCACACCAACATGTCAGTGGTGCCCAAATGCCACCAAAGATGCCAACCTGGATTGATACCTAAATGGCAGGTGTGGCTGCCTTCCTCCCCTTGTGTTGATAACCAAAGAAACAAGGTCCCTGTTACAGGGACCATCAGCCCCCGAGCTGACCCGGGGACCCGCACAGGCCACTCCCTGGGGCCTTGCTCCTGGTGGTTTCCACGCTCTTGGGCTTAGGACAGAGCAGATCAGAAGAGACCGACCAGCCCTGGAGAAAGACTTATTTTTGAGAGGAAAAGAGTTGGGGAGGGAGGAGGGGAACATGGACTTTTAGTTAGGGAGTCCTCAGTGAGCTTGGTGCCCTGTCCCTGAAAACAGTCGCCGAACCACCACACAGACCCTGGGCAGCCGGCCCCTTTGCTGGGTGCGGCTTGGCGGGCCACTCAAGCTCACGAGGACCCCGGGGAACCAGGGGCAGGCGGACATGGGACACTGGGATTGCAGGGCTCCAGTCCACACAAGCACTGGCCCAGGCCCTCTGGACGGTGACAAAAGGGACGGCAGAATGAGGTGGAACGGCTTAGCAAGACCCCTCTAAACAAGCAGGCTGCCTACAGGTGCCAGGCTCTCAGAAACGCGAGAAGAGTTGAGCAGAGAAAACAGGGTGGTGGTGTGAGAGATCAATATTCCCTGCATCACTTAACTGGAGCTACCCCCAGGAGAGCTCGAGAACCCCAGCCCCTTGGAACCGGGGCTCTAAGACAGCTGTGACATTCCTCCCAGTGACAGGCAACACCTCCACCCCCGCCCTGGAGACGCACAGCCCAAGGCTCTGCACTCCTGCTGCCCTGCTGCTCGGTGTCTAGATCATCGGGTGACACAATCTGGCGTCCGAGGGAACCAAGTGCACAGAAGGATGCCGTGGTGCTGGAGGACTGCCCAGAGCTGTCCCATGAGAAAATGGAACAGGTCAAAGGCAGGGACTGACGCAGAGCACTGCAGCACACTCCCCGATACCACCTACTAAGATGGAGGAACAGGTCAAAGGCAGGGACTGACGCAGAGCACTGCAGTACATTCCACGCAGCCCACTCCCCGATACCACCTAAGATGGAGAAAACACCCGGAGATTTTACTGGACTGGACTCCATGAAGGAGGTCCAGCTCAGGGCAGGGCCTGAGTCTCAGTGAGGCAGTGAAAGCCCTCACGCAGTGCCTGGCACAGTGCACGCTCAGGAAATGCTGCTGTCGCCAGGGGCGCCCAGGGCTCCGGGGGCTGCATGTGTCTCTGCTAGTGTTTCCATCTAGAAGGCAGCATCTTTACTCTAGTTTCTTGTAATCTAGTAGTGAGTTATCTTCCAGGAGCTGGGAAATGAGAGGAGGGATGGGATACTTTTTGGGGTCATAAACCCACAATCTTTCCAACTATAGAAGATGGACAGGATCCCATTGAAAAGTCCCAGTGACTGCACACGTGTTGTGTGTCGGGCGGGGTTGACAGCCATGTTTAGATCTCACAGGGGAGAAGCAATGCGTAAAAACCTTGTATGGCATTGCTTTTCCTGATCTAGCCCAACTATACATGTGACTGTAGGTATTTCGAAGGGAACAAAAATTTTAAAACCCCAAAGGCAGAACTTTTTTCCAAATGCTGTGTGTGTGTGTGTTTGTGTGTCTGGGTTGCAGCCAACCTCAGCATTTCATGAAACTGGAGAGTAACCAGCACTGGGTTAGGATTCCTTCTGGTATGTGCAGAGGGGGAAAGGCTGTATATGTGGATGAGCAGCAACATATGAACAAAAGCAAGAGCTGGTCTCGTTTAGTGTGCTGGCCAGGCAGGCTCCGCCCTGCCAGGATGACGCAGCTTATCAAGGGGCTTTTGTGTGGACTTGCTCTTGATCATACACTGAGTAGACTCTGCCGGTGAGGGAGAGGCCAAAGGAAGCAGACTCTAGAGAAAGGCTGGGTGGCGACCTGCAGCTCCCGCCCAGGGGGAGGCCTTGGGTGCGAACAGTGGGCAGCGTCGGGCAGGGGACTGTGTGCAGCGTCAGGACCACCCGATGGGCCGCAGGCCGCTGACACAGCGCTTGGTTAACCTGTGCAAGCGCGACGGGGGAAACCTGGTGGAATGCATGCATGTCCTTTTGCTCCAGTAACTTCGGGACATTGCACATATCAGGATTCCATTCATGCCTCACAGCTGTTTAAAGCCCATGTATGTTAGTTCGTTATGTGTCTGTGTCATGTGATCCAATGAGGAAAACCCTATTTAGCTCATGTGTGAATGCCTATTTGATAATGACTTTCTGATGGAGATGGCAATGGAAGTATCAAGTAACAAGGACATTTTTAAAATCCTAGGGGGCTGGTGAAGCAATAAATGGCTCGGGTCAGGCCAGCAGCAGACGCTGGCAAGTGGGACGGAGGGACTGGAGGGCCTGTCGGCAGCCGACTCAGTTGGGATTCCGACGAACGGCCGTGTGGGCAGGCTGGGACTGATGCGAGAGGCAGGTTTCAGGGACGTAGAATCAAATGGGGAACCATGTCCAAAGGCTTCCATTTTGAAGCTGAAATATCTCCAAATCCTTCTCTCACTTCAGAGAGGACACAGACACCCTGTCATTACTTCGTTTACTGAGCTGCGGTTCCCAATGTTCTGGGGAGCATCGTGCTGAAGGGAACAGGGTGGGGGAGCTGCCACTTTCAATCGCACGGAGGACAGAAACCCTTTTAATTATGACCATGCCAATCCACATCTCGCTAAGGCAGCTAATTACAGTCAGGAGGACACTCAGTCATTCAGAACAATTGTCATCATATTTTTATATACTCATTCTGTGCCACCCCCTCAATTACCATGGTTACAAGTTGAAAGGATTCAGGCAAACCTTCGTTTGATCACAGCACACCAATGTGAATTTGAGAGTTAATTATGGCTGTACAGCCACTTTTATTTTAAAGGGAGAGAATGGAAATGCAGCCGGCATCCCAAGATGCACGAAGCGTGCCGAGCTGTGTGCACAGGCCCTGCTCGGCCAGCGCGTGGCAGGTGGTGACTGTGCCCTTGGCTGCTGCCCCACGCAGGCAATGCCGTGGGCACAGACACCCACCGGAGGGGACAACAGTGGGCAAACTGATCCAAGAACTTGCCAAGTCAAAGTGACGTGTTGGGAGAGGAAGGCAAAGCGCGTGCAGAGGACGCCTTCCCCTTGTTCTCAGGGAGCTGGCTAATGAGACGAGGTGTGAAACGCGTGTAAACTCTGGTGTAAAGTGCCAGTCAGCTCTCACTTCAGTGGAATCAGCTAGATTTAGTTCTGCTCACGGCCTGTCCCCAATGCCACACGAGGGATGATGAAAAGGAGTCCAGGGATATGCACGTCTGGGATCCCAAGGGTGGTGGTAAGAAGGGGATGTGAGACCGCTGGGTGCAGCGGGATTTTCCCTCTCTTCTCTGTTCCTTCCCTTCTTGCTCACACAAGAAAACCCATGTTATAGGAAACTGGGTTTCTCAGGTCCTTAGCTTTCTTTTTGCTGCTACTTCTCTTCCCCACCAAGAAAGAGGAATGATGCTGATGTGGAAACTTCTCAGTTCTCTAGCTTTTGAATGTGCACAGACATGAACGAAGCTGTGCCCAGAGGTCAGTGAGCCAACCTCGGGCTTAGCTGGGAGAGAGAACGGAGAGCAGCCTTTCCCAGCACAACCTGCTGCGAGAGGAGCTTCGGTATTCGGCAGATGGCTTCCTAGGCTCGATGACTAGAAAGCCTTTCCCACCTCCCCAGTTCCCCCGAGAGCGGGAAGGAAATCTCTCCTTGTAAGGAGCGCGCAGCACAGAGGAGAAGGGCCCTGCCCTGCATGCCCCGCCTGGGAGGCCCTCCCTGGACACCTGGCCAGGCATGGCTGCCTCCCGGGAAGACCTTCCGTTCTCGTTAGTTGCAGTACCTCCCCCCGAGGTAACTCGAGCCTGACGAGGTGACACAAATTAGACCCTGGAAATGAAGGGACAGTAAAGGGTTTCAGGGCACGCAGCTCAGTTTGCCAAATTCAATATGGCTGACAACAGATCCCCAAATCCTGAGAAAGCATCCCTGCTATTTAGCGAGCACACAGCAAGGAATGTATCACATGCGTAATTCCACCCGCACGCCACTCCTGCAGCACCCCGACACCCCACAAGGACACCACCAGTAGGAACTGGCCAACATGCCCGGCGTCCATGTGGGAAATCCCGACAGAGCCGGCTCAGTAAAGCTATCCATGGATCTGGCTGGGCTTAGCGCAGCCCTGACGAATGCAGTAGTGAAACATCACTAATACAACAACAACAACAAAATGACACGAGACTTAAATCACAGGCAAGAGTAACACAGAAAACCAACACACAGCAGAGGGTCAGAGCTACTCGGTGGACGTGCTGCCAAGCACAGATCACCAACAAGACAATTATTGCCTAAGAATCTGTGAGACTCACTGGGGAAAAATACTCTGGTGGTTTTCTGTAAAAAAAAAGGGGGGGGGGAGGGGTAGAGACATGAGCTAAATGGGAAGAGTGCTTCTTACCAAACCTTTCAGAACAAAGAGAAAGGACTTGAAGTTCACATTTTTAGGACAGGAGTGGGAGATTATTTATGAAAAACGGATTATTTCCACTGTTATGGGCAGAGAGAATGTAGCTGGTCAAAAAAAATGGGCTGAGAGGCAGGAGGAGTGTCGTGTGGAGATGCGCCACACTCCTGCCCTGGAAACCAGCTCCAGCCAGGAAGCCCGCGATGAGGCTCCGTGCTGGAGCCGAGGCAACGGAAGAGCTGCTGTTCAGACGAAAGGATGTGACCGGAGGTCCTGATGAAAGGAGAGTAGTTACACTTGATGCCTGAAGGTTGGGATCCAAGAGAAATTTATAGAGACAAAGGCCAAACGCAGAAACGAATCGTCCCCTCTGAGGTAAAATGACCTGGATGCCTGGCCCTGCGGAGCTGCTGCGAGCCCTGGTCCGCCTGCCGTCCACCCGACTGGAGTCCTGGTCTGCACACGTCATGTGTATGAGCTTTTCCTCATCCACATCTTTTTAGGGGGTCACCTCTACAGAGATGAGTAAAGGTGCCCTTTGGGGTCTTCCCGCTCCAGGCCTTCCTTTCTGTGAAGGGGTATGGGAATGTGGGGGCAGGGCGGTCCCACCAGTGGCAATGTGCAGGAACCAGAGTCCACAGGCAGGTGGACGGTGACCACACTCCTCTGCCCCAAGACGCTATTTGGTCCTCGCTGCACTAGCCGTCTCAGGTAAGAGTGGATTGGACGTTCTCCCTGGCCGTCACGGAACATCAGAGTTATCGACGGAGAGGCAATCTCATTAGGATGGTCCATCGTTAAAAGGTCCCTTTGTAAGGCTCTGTTTTAGGAAGGACGTGTACCCATGTGACCACAGTAATTTGATGAAGTCTTAAAACAATAACACAGACAAGTTACATAAACTGGGCAAGCCCCCCACCCCCTGCCTTCTGATCTTCCTCACGCAGAGAGATTAGCCCTGGAGAAAGCCCACCATGAAGGGAGAGGAGAGAAACGGGACGAGCACGGGAACAGCAGGGGGTTCTTTAAGAGCCCAGCTATTCCCTCCAGTTTAGGGTTTCTACTTTAATATCACATCTCAAACCTAAAAAAAACTTCAGAAAAAGTATTTACCATCCAAAAATATTACAAATTAGTGGCAATTCCATATGCCATTATAATAACTAAGGTAACTTGGACAAGAGAGTGGAACTGAACCTGGTAACAAACAAAAAAACAATAGGCCCCAGAGAACTAAATGTCTACTCCTGGTGAGAAGCAAGAGCACGTAAGGCAGTGTAAGAGCGAGCCAGCAGCCCTCCTGCTCCTACGAAATCCACCCGGATGTGCGCCCACAGTGGTGGGCACATTCCTTCCTTCCTCCAGATCCCAGACAGGGCCTGTACTGCCTCTGGATACTCACTCTCCTTTCTTTCTTCTTTGTCTCTTTTCCCCTTCCTTAAAGGTCTTAAAACAATGAAACCTTTTAGCTCCTTTCTGGCAATCACTGTAGTTCTTTAGAAACTGAAGTTGTCTTAACAGTTCGAGTCTGTTTCCTTAAAAAGACCAGCAAGAACTAACGATACAAGATGAGCAATCCCATCATAAGGAAGCTATCAATGATAATAATCTCCTTACAATAATCAATCATGGATGTGGCTTGTCAGACAGTGTATTTTTCTCTCCCCCCCCCCTTTTTTTCTGATTCAGCCTAGAATAAGCCAACAAAATTCCACAGAAATGGAAAGATACAAGTTACAGTTCTTCTAAGTCATACAAAAGGAAAGAAAGATAACACAATCTCCTAATCCAAACGAAAAGTCAAACACAGCAAGAAAGAAAACGAGTGGGGATCATTCCTGAGAATAACAAATGCTACTCTTCAATCTGTTGGTTCAAGTAACACAGTAAAACAGAAAAGGCTACTCCATTCTACTTCAATTCTTGGAAGTGAAAAAGTATATACATCCCCCTGAAATCCACGGACAAGAGCAGGCCAGGCCCTGTTGACAGCTCCTTAAGTCACAGACCCACACAGTGGCACTGTGACGCCCGCGCAGAGGCTGGCTCACACTGACGTAAGCGGGGCTCACAGACAAGAGCTGGTGGCGTCAGCACGTGCCTGCAGTGGAGTTAGACCAGCGAAAGACTGGCGGACATGCAGTATGTCACTAACGAGAAAGAGAAAAAGGAAGGTCAGTAAGTCTCACTCTCTCAATGGTTTTAAATTGAATACATTTGGGGGGGGGGGGGGGGGGGGGAGAGGTAAGGAAATGGCACCTTCTTTTATCTTAGAAGTCGTTTTCAGGTAATGGACAAAAGGGCCCACAGTCCCCTTACACAGGCCCCATTGTCCGCAGGAAGGAGAGGTGGACCGGGCAAGAGCAGCCGGCGCTGCCCCTCTCAGACATGCCCTCCGCTGACACCCGAGGGGAGGGCCGTTTCCTTACCGCAGTGACAGCGTGTCATTTAATCGGGATGCTGAGAGATCATTTTCATACAGGGCCAGCAGATGTAATTTTCTTCGATGCATGAATAGTTCATCATTTTTGCTACTAGATGACAAGGTGATCACAGGGTGACTTTATAACGCAAGTTCACTGTTTGGTATTTTGAGTTCTCAAAATGAAAAAAAGATTTATCAAATATAAATATCTTTAAGAAGTAACAAAAGTGCTACATATGTGATCAAGGAAAAAAATTCCATTAGGTTACTGCTGCTTAAAGAAGATTAAACTTTACAAATATTACCACATCCATTATCAATATGGCTTCCAATTATTAAATAAATTGCCTGTAGCAATACAGCTTTTCACACGGCTCCAAGGACAGAGTAAAGAGAACACCAAAGCAGTCACACCCGTCATGTCACGCAGACCCACCGCCTAAGCGGCAAACGTCCTGTTTTTCCTGCTCCTGTGTCGGGAAGTTAGCATCTGTGAAAGTCAGTCAGCAACACCCACCGTAAAGTCCTCTAAACCCCTCACATCGAGGGGGCTTCAGGTGCTGGACACAAAGACTGAAAGTTCGTTCACTCATTTTTGACCTTAGCTTCATCCTTGAAAGACTTTTTTTGGCGGCAGGGAAGGGGACGCAGGAGGCAAAGCAGCTCCTGACGACTCCGGCACTTTCCCAGACAGGCGAGGCCGTGCCACGCCTGACAGACAGTGGTTCTGAGCTGGACGTGGCCTCCATACACATTCAGCTCGTGTCACTTCCCAGGGCCTCTCAAGCTGGGGGTGTTTTTAAGTGACTTCTATTTTTGTCTTTTTTTGTTTGTTTTAATCATGGTCCCAAAGGCAGAAGGCAGTATTTTATCTACTGAGTCACACAGCGTGAGAGGACTGGATGTCTGTCAGGCATGTTACCATCACCTAAATCTGAGCTGGGGCTCTCCCGCTGCAGGCCCAGCACAGCCTGGACAGGCGTCACCAGCCCCAGTGTGACTGTTGTGAGGCACGGCTTGTTGAAGCTAGAAATCAGGGACCCCCACCCCAAGGTGGGGCTCTAGTGCTCCTTTCACTGTGGACACTCCCCACCTGGGCCGTCAGTCCCGGGCCACACTGCCTCAGCCTGCATCCTATCAGCCGAGGAGGGAAGGGGGACAGACGGTGGGACAGGGATCTACGGCACCCGCGGTTTGCATGTAGCCTAGTGTCTGAGGCCCGGAGGGCTATCTAAATACCTGGAAGCACTTTCTTGGAATGCTAAGACGGAGCAGCGAAATTTCTAGCCTTGGGGCCGGGAGAGGGAAGTGTGGTTGGTTGGTTGCTTATTATTTACTGGGAATTAATACTGAGAGAGTATATGCAAAGGCTGAGGGCACCATGCCATCTTCACAGAACAAGAAGACCCTAACGGCTAACTGACATACAAGAAACTGCAAGTTATACTGTGAGAACACGTGTTAAGGACCGAGGAAAGTCTGCTAAGGTGCTACGTCTAAACTAAGTTACTCTCACGGTCGCCCTCCCCGGTCAGTCGTCATCCAGGGCCTCTGTCTTGATTTCGTTGGCTCCTTGTCGGGCCAATGCCAAGATCGTGTGGTTGACGGCTGCCATTTCCACAGCTAGTGAGATGGGGTCCTGGTGGTCACTATGGCTAGTGCTGTCATCCTAGACGTGCAGGGATAAGAAACACACGTTAGAGGCCTGGGACAGTCTCCAGCTCACAGAAAGGCATGCTGGGCAAGGGGAGGGAGAGCAGCTGGGGGTGGAGGAGAGAAGGGGAGGGGCTCAAGACCGAGTGGGGCGAAATGCATTTAAGTAGACACTGAATGGATAGTCCAGAGATTTCGGGGTGACAGTTTTAGGATTCAACAAACAAGATTTTTCTTGCTGTGCACTGTATTCTTTCTTTCAGGAAATAGCTGGTGATGATAATCAAATCTGCCTCATTCTAGTTTTGCAAAAAACAGAGCACTAGTCACTGAAGGCCGTGATAGTGAGCTATTAAATTCTGGATGGTGCTCTTACAAATGGATTATTAGAATTCATGGTATCTCTCCACTGAACTGAGAGAACTAGACAGGAAGTTAGACAACAACATCTTATGGATAAAATTGCACTTTTGTAAAAAAAATAACCACCTCTCAATGACAACAGCATGGAAGTGTTGCTGTGGGACAGCCCTGGGAGCGTGTGCAGCGCCCTCCTGCTGTGCGGGAAGTGTGGCCACCTTAGCTGGAGTGTGAAGCTCCCTTCCCACACTGAGGTGTGAACAGTAGAGCTGGGGAGGAAACTGGCCTTGCATTTGTGGCATTGAACATGCGCCCTCCTGCTGTGCGGGAAGTGTGGCCACCTTAGCTTCCCACACTGAGGTGTGAACAGTAGAGCTAGGGAGGAAACTGGCCTTGCATTTGTGGCATTGAACACAGGTTACAAATAAGGGGTAGGTTTCCCACCTTCAGGGGAAATCTGCATCAAAGAACTTTGGGGAGGATCCGTCCCTTCAGGGGACAAAAGGGTGGGATATGCTGCCCTTAGGGCATCTGGAAAAAAGGTGGAAATGACCCTTCTACACCATAGACTAAAATACCAGCAATGTTTCCAATGAGGAAGACTTCCAAACACTCTCTAGGGGAAATGTGGAGCTACGATGTGGAGCCCAGAGAGGAACAGGTCCCCGGGGAAAGTAGGGGTGGTTTCATTCTCTTTCTCATGGATTGGTCTTAGGTGGTGAAAGGGTTGGGCATGGAAAGGCAGGCATCATCACGCAGTGTCTGTGAACAGGCTGTGACTCTGGAGGCAGAAGGAGCACAGTGGGCGGGATTTAAGAGCTGGCTGAGGAGCAAGGGAG